TTTCTGTTATCACTCGTCACACTTTTATCACTAATTGTAGGATAACTTCCATAAAATTTCAATTAACTTAATCGCCTTCCATTAAACTCTAGCTAATTAACCGGTGATTAGCTTATCAAGTAATACCTAAATTATTTCATTAACTCACTCGAAACTAATTTCACACTATTTAATATATAAAAAAAGAAGATCAAGAGGTTCGGAACAACAGATATTAAAAATTTTGTTACAAGCGAGTCCATCCCAGCCGAATTATATTTTCTCTATCCCCGGTATCTATATTTTTATCAATGTAGATTATAACTTTGATCTCAGTTCAACTTACTGTTAGCTTTTATCTTTTTCTAGTTCAATTGCCCGTTTCTACCAATGTAAGTTAACTTTAATATCGAATCTTGCTCTTCATCTTTTTCTAATTTTTAGGACTAGAGAAAGATATAAAGTTAGTTGAACCAAATTAAACCACATTGATAGAAACGAGCATAAGAAGTAAAAAACATAACGAATATATATAAATTAAGTGGAAATTAAAATTAATTCGTAACGGGACCACATATTTTTTGTGACGTTAAAGAAACATATGAGACCTTGGGGATCACTAAAGTTTTAAATTATTACTTTTAAAAGAAGTTTTTCAGCTATATAAAAAACTGCAACATCTGAACTTAGCATAAATAAATATAGCATGGTAATTAGCTTCCATGAATAAAATAAAATAGTTAAAAAATTAGCCTGTGAAATATAAAATTATTCCAAATCATTATACTATATAATAATTAGGAAAATAACCTAGGATCACCGTATTCCAATTATGAGCTGACCCATATTGGAGAATTAGTCTTATCTAATCAGACTAAATCGGATTAAATTGGAATTTAACCAAAATCGCCTCGATATCCATTTCTATCAATGTAGATAAACTTTGATCTTTTTTTAACTAATAACTAGTTAACTTATAATTAGTTTTTCCAGTTTTAAGGATTAGAAAAAGATAAAAAAAACCGAGATAAAGTTTGTCCAAATTAATAAAATTGGCTCCATCGGTTGATTAAATTAATTGGAGTTGATCGAACTCACCTTGTTCAGTCTATAAAAAAAGATATCAATTAATTTTAATCTCGGGTTAATTTACTTTTTATCCTTTTCTAGTAGTATTTGCTATTCTTTTCTAAGAATTAGATAATAAAGATAAAAAATAAATAAAATTAAGATTAAAATTAATTTACAAAAATAAGCTCGCATAAAAAAAAAATGTAAAGTAATAGAATTTTAATAAATTTTATGGAATTGGCAGGTAAGCTCATATAGAAACAGGAATCCACTTATATAAAAGTTATTTTTCTAGTAAATGAGCGATCATCCCATAGCGATCGTACCATAAACTTTCTAAATTTCGTGAAATAAAAATCTATAAATTACCATACATTTAAATAAAATTTACTTTATCGACACACACGAGTATTTTTTACTTCGACACTAACAAAATTTACTTTACTGCGTGATAAAAAATACAAGTATATAAAGTCTTAAAAGTTCTTCGTTGTTATGCAGTCTTGAGAATTTATTTTACTGTAAGGTAATATTTTTCGCAATAATTATTTAGAGTTCTTAAAATGCTTAGATTAGCATCAAATTTTTTTTTTGAGATTAAAAACATAAGCGAATACCCTGTAATGAGGAAAGTAATTATCAATGATGTACATCGATATATTACACATTTAATTATCTTCCTTATTATAAGGTATTTATTTCTGTTTTTGCATTTGGTAGTTTGCATTCCTATTCCTTAGAGTTTGTCAACACTCGAATGGGACCTATACAATTTAACGCCGAATCCGAACGACAAACGCGAAAAATCACGTATATGGGCGCAAGTGGGATCGAACCCGGATCTACAGATCGCGAGTCAATCGCACTGAGCGGTAAGCCACTCAACGCTCCGATTAGCATCAAATTATTAATATCCTTTTAAGATTTAAGTTTAAGCTTTTAAGCTGATCGACATCAAAAATTATTATATTGCTAGAATTTAATACGTGATACTATTCTAGTTCTGTTCATGATTACGTTTCAAGAGACCGGAAGATTTTTTTCGACGCGCAGTTTCCAGAATTGGATATGTATATCAATTCACTTTGAAATATTTAACACTAATTATTACTGTAGAGTAATAATCACTTGAATGGATTTACTATAATCACAATGTACTTTTTACCTCTAATATTTTTTAATTTCAAGCAAGTAAGTAAAATTTATCATAAGTTCAGCAAAAATAGCCATGAGAATATTTTTACTGGTCTTATAAGGTGAAAATTATTCAACCATTTTTCTTCGAGAAAGATCATGCAAAGATCATGCATGTTCTTCGTTATTCAAAGACCATCTTCAAACGTGCAGATTTTTATCAGGCCAAGAGGGGTTCGCGGGTTCGACTTGGCGCTTTCGAACGGTCATCTCAAGGAATCCGGCGGACTTTCGTTGGCTGCGTTCGAAAACACTACCCAAGTACCTCTGAGTATCATTTTATCTTTGTTTCAGTAAACAATAAAAATAAAATAATACTCGGACGCATTCGGGTAGTATTTTCGAACGCAGCCTTTGATGGTTCCCTGATGGTTCTCGGAATTGCCGACACACATACGACGGGAAGGACAGTTCCGTCTGTGAGTAATTACATCTGTACAACGGTACGGTCCGCGCAGGCAGGTAAAGGTCGCTCGTGGGTCCGAAGGTCACCGCCTCTCTATTCCATCTGCCTGCCTCCTGCGAATCGGCACGGCGCGGCGATCTGTCCTCGCCCCCCCTTGACGGCGCGTCGGGTCGCGATTTATTCTTTCCGAAGAGCTTGTGTACGGGCATACCTATATATTCGCGGATCACGTCCGAAAATAAAATCGCGCACGCGATGACACGTCCACGACTGAGAGCGACGCGTAGCTTTGTTCTGGCGATCGCGCCTTACACTCGGCAACACCCAAGTTATTGCCCAACTCTTGAACATGTATTTTCGAATGCGAACATGTGTATATTCTGCGAGGTCTATCCCGCTGACTCTTGAATATGCATGAACGATTGAACTGAAATGTCAGTGGTCGCGTAAGAAAATGGATGATAACTCTCTCAAAGTCCGAGAGAATCCCTTGAAATGACCCTCCGAGAAAGATTGCCGAGGAAACGTTTCTTCAAGAGTATATCAGGAAATGTATTAGGATTGGATAAAATTTTTGTTGACGATTTGTGCTCGTTTCTACCAATATAGCTTAATTTTAATCTCGGTTCAACTAACTCTTCATCTCTCTCTCTCTCTCTCTCTCTCTCTCTCTCTCTCTCTCTCTCTCTCTCTCTCTCTCTCTCTCTACTCTAGTTCTAAGAATTAGAAAAGGATGAAGAACAAGTTGACCCGAAATTAAAGTTTTAAACTACATTGGGATAGGAGATAAAGAGTAAATTAAATCGAGTTTGAGCTACATCTTAAAGTTAATGCACATTCATAGAAATGAATCGGTGGAGGTGGACGCGTTCGTGTTCCGGTTCGGCTGTTACGTCATTTTTTGGCCCGGTTTTTCATTACCTAGTTTACTTGTGGTTGGTCTAACCTGATGTTTAATCCAATGTGCTTCATTTGTGATGATGTCATGGAATGATGAAGCCCATTGGGTGAAACATCAGGTTAAGCTTAACCACAAGTTAACCAGATAAAGCCAGACCTTTGTCTTTTGAGAATTTTTGATGAAACTCTCCGAGCTTATCTCGTGCATTGACTTCGTAAATTTATAATTGCTTTGTGTTATTGGCTGAAACGGTCTTCGTTATGGAGTCTGAGGCTATTAAAACTGGAAATTGGAATTAAAGCTACTCTCTAAAACTTTTAACGAAATCTCACTCTTCTACCCGTTTCCACCAATGTAGATTAATAAATTAATTTCGATTTAACTTACTGTTCATTTTTTTCTAGTTTTAAGAATCAGAAAAATATGAAGATTAAGTTAAACCGAGATTAAAGTTAATTTACGTCATGGTTATGGAGTTAGTGGAGATGGACATTGAAGTTGAAAATTGAGACACTTTTTTTCAACGATGTATATTTCAAATAGTAAGGTTTCAAAGAAATAAATTATAAGTCACTCTTTTTCATGTTCAAGACTGCCTCAATTTTCATTCTGTAGAATGAGACTCTAAAAAATTTATTAGAATATTAGCTAATTTAATTGGACGCATTAGTGCATATTAAAGCCGTACGTTGATTTAATCTGTGTAAGAGTAAAATGCAAATATGGTAATATAATTTCGTACATATTTTAATTCGTTACTAATGCAGGTGTTGGTTTTAGTTTACGGTCTACTTGATGCTACAAATAGAATCAATTTTTATTTTAAATATTTTAAAACTAATTCATGATTATTCTTTAACCAAATCATATCCAAACTTACAAGTGACAATAAGAATATTTTTAATTATTCCAGTAAAATAGCTTCATGTGACAGAAATGTTAGTAAATTAAAAGTTAACAAAAATTATTTAAGATCATCACTAAGTCAAGAAAGATTACCAAATATACAAATTCTTTCAATTGAATATAAAATATGTATAAGAGGATATAGTAGATTTTGATGTAATAATCGATTTGCAATTATTAAAACATGAATCATTATCTAAGCTTTAGTCTTATACCCGTTCAGTCAGGCCTTATATTTAAGACTTCCTTAAATTTATCTTTAGATATTCTACGAATTATTTTATTGGCTGAACATCTAAAGATGAACTTAGAAGCCTTAAATATAAGGCCTGCTATGAATACAGGCATTAAGCTGCAAGAAATTGACCAATTGTAATCAATTATTCTTCTCATATTCAACTATGATCGGTCAATTTTTTATGACTTAAAATTTAGAACTTAGCTTATTGTAGAAAATCCATTAAAGTAAAGGTTATGGCACATAAAAAAACTTAAGCAGTAAGCAAACCAAAATTTTGGATTTGTTACAGTTTACATTATTACCTTACGGTGTCTTTAGTGAGATTGGTCAATTCACTCAAGTTTGTTTTGTGTGACGTAGCCTTCACAGTTCTCTGATGACGAAGATGAAACATTCCATACACAAGAGCGTTACGTCATAAAGAGAAACGCCTTCAGGCACTCGCGAAATCCATCTCGGAGAGACAAAATTCGCTTTATTTCGTACCCTTCGACTCGGAGCACAGCATCGTGCATTGAACGCTCGTCCGGAGGAGGTTGGCGCGTGGCGAGGAAGCGGAATGTAGCCTGCGGTGACACCGTTGAACGCGCAGAAGGGACACACAATATAAAACGCAGTTCCTTCCGTATTCGGAGTTTATCGTCGCATTAAACCCGACCCGGAATTCGTCACGCTAGATTCGACCCACTGTCGTTATTCGACGCAAACGAAGAGGAATGAAGAGGAAACGACGACCGTCACACGAGCTATTGCATTCTCACCGTCGTCGACGACGGCCGACGGGCTGCGAATATTACAAGCGCGCGCGCGCGCACAACTCTTCCCTCGGGAGGACGTCGCCGTGCACGCGAAAATGCGAAAAAACATCGTACTCCTGTACGCTCGAGGACGAACCTCGAGAGCGAGAGAGACAGTGATAGATAAAAGAGAGGAACCGCAACTCACCTTCGCGGCTAGCAGCGGCGACGACCGATCCGTGCCGTCGCGCAATCGGGACCAGCGGACACCAACGAGCTAGTTACCAGACTTCGACCGCGGGTTAGAGTTCATAACCTCTTCTAACCTTTACCTTTTCGCCTCCCCTTCCCCTGTCCTGTCGCCGCCCCCCACTTCCTGCGCGTATATCCCGACATCTCGCGTCGTCCTCTGTGTCATCGAGCATGTAAACATGTCATCGCAAACGTGTGCATTCGGAACAACCGCTCAGTGAGCTCTTTCATCTGATTGGCGTATTCCGTTCAATCGTAAGATGTAGACCAATCGGATGAAAAAGTTCGCATGACGCAGAGAGCGCCCAGTGTCACCGTTCTATTTTCGTGGATTTTCGCGACCCTGCGCCGCGACGGGCTAAGCGCAAATTATCAGGACGGCGCCATGTTGGATTAAGTTCATTGGCGGGACAAAAGTTCGATTCGAAAAGCGGAAGATATCTTAGGGGCTCCGCACAATAAAAGGAACAGGAAACGGAGAACAGAGAATAAGAATTTCAATCTATCAGAAATCATGTATATTGTGGAATACATAGTTTTCGATAGGTTGAAATTCTGGTGAGCCCCTTATTCTCTAAATTCTTTGATGTGGTATCTCACTCTAAAGAATAAAAATTCAGTCAATCTTGAAAAAGAGTGGCTTAATTTTCAAACTTTTTAAAGAAATTTAACTTGATTTATTTTAATTTGGTTCAATTTTGGTGTACTCTGCATAAATCCGATTTCGATAAAGCTTTAAAGACATACATGGTATCTGAAATTTAAATGTCAAAACTTTAGGAGCTTGTAGAGAATCGATAAACTAAAAAAAAGTCCCATAGAGATATACTCGTTTTTACTTCGTTTTAAAAAAAATCGCAAAAAAGACAAAACGTAGTTGCTTCGTTCTTGCACTGCCTCTAAGGCTGGAATCAGTCTATGCATTGAAGGTTGAGATTGAAGATTAAAGATTAAAATTTCACCAATGAGGATAAAGAAATTCTGGCTCCTTTTGTTCTGATTGATCAAACATCAATCTTTCAATCTTCGATCTCATTCTTCAATACGTAGTCTGATTCCGACCTAAGTATTATAGCCGCTAAAATCGTACACAAAAACAATAATAATAATTCCGTTTTCAGATGAAAACTTCTTTTGTTTGTTTTTGTCTAGTGGGGTGGCACCCAGTTGGACACGGTTCAATTGGACACGAGCCACTCACAGCGCTTGAGACTACAAAGCTCCTAAGCACCGGTCGCTGTGATTGGTGGTGTCCAATCGAGCTGGGATCACCCCGAAAAATATCTCTGTATTGGATGTACGGATTGCAAAAGTATTATTGCTTAAATTAAAGTACGCACAAACAGGACCTCAGCTGCACTGGATTTCGTGAGAAAATCGAAAAGTTTCAAATTCGTTAAAAATTCACTTATTTTTGGCTCGTATAGCTGTCACCTCAGATATATATTTGCTGGATATAAGAGTTTTAGACCATATCTTGAAAATAAGTGTGCAGCTGAGGTCACATTATTGAAACGAACGATACCGAGTTTATAGAACTAAGATTGAAAGTCTAGAAAAGAAATATTTCCACCGAATAGAAAATACGTGTATACAGGTGCTTTGCGAAGACTGGGACTGTCAACAGAGCCGAAATTCCGTGTAGCAGTAGTTGCGCGGTCTTGCGATAGATGGTGCTGGCATATGTTAGATAAGAACAGATGTATGCGTTTGAGTAAGACAGAATGATATATATTATATAATATGTAAAAACTAAATCAAAGATGTCACCACTATTATCGAATTTGGAATTTAAAAAGTCTGTATTATTAACCTTGATTGAGTTGGGTAATCGGTTTAGCCAAGCGATGGGCGATGTTTCATCGATTATACAAAAAAATCGATGTTTTTTTTATAATCGATGGAACATCGCCCATCCCTAATTAGCATCTCCTTAAATGCAGCCAAATATATAGATTTTTTGGAGACTGACTTATTCTTTGATTATATGGGCTGCGTTCAAACACTCGCGAGCATCGTTTGTCTTTGTTTAACATTTGATAAACGATAAGGATGAAATGATTCCACGAGAATTTTGAGTGTTAAATGGAACGTAGCCTTAGAAGACATCCACCTGCATGGATTGAAATGTGGTTTCAACTCGATGGATGTCCAGCTCATTATGGCAGAACTACTCGAGCTTGGCTAGACAGACATTTTCCACAACAATGGACATGGAGGATGTCTGTCTAGCCAAGCTCGAGTAATTCTGCCGTAATGAGCCAAGCTCGAGTAGTTTTGCCATAATGAGTGGAGGAGTAGTACCTTGGCTCTACCTCGATCACCTAATTTGACACCGCACTGGATTTCTTTGTGTGGAGGGTCCTAAAGCAGAAAGTTTATTTGTCGTCAATCAACTTAAAAGAACAATTGAAAAATCGAATCGAGGCTGCAGTGCACCAAATATCGCCAGCGTGTTTATAGCTGCAATATACGAGCTGTCTGAACTACATCCAATACTTGCGTTGCTGCAAGAGGCCAACATTTTGAACAATATCTACATTAAGCAAGTGAATAAATAATGAGTGATACAACGTAAATAAATAATGAGAAAGTATAAAAATGAAAACTACGTTTTGTCTTTTTTTGCGATTTTCTTCAAAACAAAGCAAAAACGAGCATATCTTTACAGGACTTTTTTTCTTAATTTATCGATCCCCTATACGCTCTCGAAGTTTTGACATTTAAATTTCAGACATCCTGTAGATACATAGTACCATAAAGAGCGGTATGTAGTCAAATCCATAATAAATGCGAAGTTGCGAAAATGTTTAGTTTCCAAAATATTTAATTTTATATAATCGGCTTAATTAACGTTTTTTTAAGATTTTGATAAGAGGCAATAATTTGAATTATAAAAACTATTTTGTTGACTATAGATAGTTTTATATTATATATTGCATTTACGATGCTAATAAGTTTACATTTACATTTACATACATTTTTAGCATTTTCGTTATATTTTATCTTATTATTAATGTTGTGTGTGTGTGTGTGTGTGTGTGTGTGTGTGTGTATGTGTGCATGCGTGCGTGCGTGCGTACATGCGTGCGTGCGTGCATGCGTGCGTGCACTACACTGAAACTTATCAGAGTTTACAAGAATTCTCGAAAACAGTTTCGAAGTTTTTTCCTGAATGGAAAATAAAAAATACCAAATAACACATTAAATATGAAAAAAATTAATTTATTGCAAACACGTCGCACAATGTGGGGTACATAAACTTTCATCGCGTAAACTGAAATAGCCACTAAACGCGATGTGACTACTGCTAGTATCACTACTGTCCTTAATTTAATCATAGTCATTCATTTTAATTGCACTTATCTTATACTTTGTTCCTTGTCTCTTTCTCTCTCCAAAGTTCGGATATATACCTATTTCGTTTTAAGCGTGGAAAGCATAAGTGCAATTAAAACGACGTTACTACGATATTTTTCTGAATTTTTACCTAGTAAATATTCGATTCTGTTGTACGATAATTGTATGTTGCACGATACATTCATACATGCATACATACATGTAGTTATATTATTCCAATGAGCCTATAAAGTAAAATCAACCTGCACAAAAACGCTGCAAGAACTTATTTAATTTTATATAATCTTATATAATATATTATGTAATAATATAATATAATATAATAAATAATAATATTATGTCAATACAATGTTACAAAATTGGACTTATTATTAGAAATATATTCTTATATTTAAAATTGTCTCTAATTATAATATAGTGAAGTTGAACTACATTAGTAGTAGATATTTACATAAATGTCGACTATACATTAAATAGATGCGTAGAGTAATTATGAATTGGCATTCGTTATAAAGTAGAATTAAAAAAAAGCTCAGAGAGAACTATATGTCAATGTACAAACGCGTAACTATGTTTTATCCGATATTTAAAAAGTTTCAGAAACGTCTGCCTTCTTCTGATTTTCTTGCTCATTCCTTAACAAATACCTAAACTTATACGTTTTCGTTTTCTTTATTTTTGGTGGCTTATTGCACGAGTTTCCTACAGAGAGAAGACATCTTATGTCGGATTATCTTAAAACGTGACCCTGAAGATTTACTGATTAAAGTAGTATAGTACTTAACTAACTTTGTGTATCGTTGACTTGAGAGATCAATTTTATATCTTGTGTAAAACTTAATGTAATTTTATGAGAATTTAACGCATATCACCGTACATTACACATTGCGGGTTATGTACATGAACACTTTTTTTCAATGTCCTAGCATTGTGTGGTAAAAATAATACTAACAATATGTGTGATATTATGGCAGCAAGATATTTTGTATTCATGAAAACATCTTGTCATCATAATATAGTTTCGGAAATGCTATATATTTTATAACACATAAAAGTGTAATGTAATAACCGAAACTATCAACGGAATCTATCAATTCTGCTGAATTGGCAAACATAAATTGGTTTTGATTTCAATTACATTTGTGTAACGGTAACAAATTTTACGCTTAAAAGCTATGTAATAGTAACGGTACAGAGATTTAACATGAATTGCAAATAAACTAAGAAGACTGGCCTATTATGCGATGTGTAAAAACAAATTAATCAAATACCATATCTGAAACTTATTGAAATAACGAATTTTTTTACTAAATAAAGGTGTGGACTTGAAAGAAAAAGAAAATCTTCCTCAATTTCTTGATCTATCGAAAAAAGAACGTCCACATAATATCT